TCATCATTCAAGCAAGAATCCTTCCTCGGAAGGAGATTATCATCGAAAACAACATGTATAGACTCTTCTACAACTGATGTTCTTTTATTAAATACTCGATAAGCTTCAGAACTTAAGGAATAACCCAGAAAAATTCCTTCATCACTTTTAGCATCAAAATTTGCCAAGATTGTCTTTACCGTTGTTTAAAACAAAATATTTACATCCAAAAGGATGAAAATAGCTAATGTTAGGCTTTTTTATTTTAAAAAACGTTCATATAGATTTTTCTTCAAAATAGGCCTAATCATTACTCGATTAATAACATAACAAGCAGTATTTATGGCTTCCGCCCAAAAATATTTTTTGGCAAATTGTTTTCACAAAGCATGGTTCTAGCCATTTCTTCTAAATTTCGATTTTTCCTTTCAACAACTCCATTTTGTTGAGGGGTTCTAGGTGCTGAAAAATTATGACTAATACCATTAGAATTACAAAATTCAGTAAATCCAAGATTTTCAAATTCAGTTCCATGATCACTCCTAACACTAGTTATAGAGTAACCTTTTTCGTTTTGGATTACTTTTGAAAACGTGATGAATTTTTCTAATGCTTCATCTTTAGTACTTAAGAATAGAACCTAAGTATATCTAGAATAGTCATCTACCAAGACAAATGCATATCGTTTTCCACCCAAGCTAGTAGTTCTAGATGGCCCAAAAAGATCTAAATGGATCAATTGCAATACTCTACTAGTTGATACATCATTAATGGATTTAAAAGAAACTCGCTTTTGTTTTCCTTTAGCACAAGCATCACAGATTTTATCATTATCAAATTTTAGTTTAGGCAGCCCTCGAACCAAATCTCCTTGAATTAACCATTGCAAGACACTCATACTAGCATGTCCTAGTCTCCTATGCCATAACCAACTATCATGCTCATCCTTAGCAACTAGGCATAAATTAGTCATATCTATAGAGTCTAAATGCACCATGTAAATGTTTCATAGTCTATAACAAACAAGCATAATCAAAATAGATGCAATGTCAATCAATTTTGCAAACACTTAATTTAAAAATAAGACATTGTATCTTTTGTCAAATTTATCTAATCGGATTATGCTTTAATCCATTCACATACAAAACATTATGCAATGTTGATTATCGAGATTAAAAGCATATGCATAAATTTTTTGAAAATGTTATGCATTAAAAAAAATCTATGCATAAACATAATGAAAAATTTAAGGTCAAAATTTTGTAAAACCAAAGTTCTTGATAAATCGATATCAATTGTTAAAGAGATTTCAATTACATTTTAAAAACCAATTTTGACCCCAAAAAAATAATATGATGAACTAGAGTTTATAAAACATTACCAAAAATTACTATGTTCATCATACAATATTTTTCAACATTCATGAGATAAAACAAAATCATTTAGAATTATTCATGAGAAAAAAAAATCATTTAGAATTATTCAACATTTAAACCTCATGCATGCATAAACTAAATGAGCAACCAAATAAATAAAAACATTAAGTTTAGAGGTTGCCCATTCATTTTCATGTGTGGCTAGAGCATCTTGAATATCATCTTCATCACCATTGCTCCCACACACCTACAGAACATTTAAGTAGATTTTTGTATCCAAATTGCTTTGGATCCTTTAACATTAGTTTCAATACCTCTTGTTCCTTTTGGAACCCATACTTGTCTAATTTTAAATCGTTTTTCCTTTCTTTAAAGGACAAGTATGTTCCTTATGACATGATAATGACAATGTGAACATATTGTCATATTGAACTAGATGAATTATTAAAATGATCTCTTTTCTTTTGTAAGCATTCAAGCTTAACTTTCAAATCGAATTTTTCATTTTCAATACTTCAAATTTCATTTTGAAAGCTCTAAATCCTTCTTTCAAGATTTATTTTGATTTTCAAAATCCATTTTTGTTTCTAGAAGAAGTTTGGTTTAATTTGAAAATTTCTTTTTCAGAGTTTTCAGATTTTATTTTGAAAGCTCTAATCCTTTCTCAACATTTCATTTTGATTTTCCAAGTCTGTTTAGCTTTCAAAAGAAGATCATTTTAGCAATAAATTTAGAAATCATATTTTTATATTTGGAGTTCATGGTCTCAAACTCTGAAATTAATTCATCATAAGCATCTTGTAACTCATTAAAAGATTTTGAATTTAATCTATTTGAGTTAGAAGATACCTTTGGCTCTGTGAGAGCTAATAGAGACATCATCTTTATTGGTTCTTCTTCTTCCTTGTCTCCATAGATCTCCTCAAGCTTATCCCCCATCTCATTGGCATTTGAACAATAAGAAACTTCTTTATATACATTAGGATCAATTTCACAACACAACATGTGCATAGCCTTTGTGTTTTGTTGAGCTTTCTTCCGTTCTTGATCACTTCACTTATTTGCCTTCTTTGTAGGAGAAGAATATCCTTTCTCGATCATCATTCAAGCTTCCATATCAAATGCTTGGATAAATATCATCATAAGCTTCTTCCAACGACGATAATTTGTTCCATTGAAGTGTGGAGGCACGTCAATTGGTCTGGATTCTTCCATGGAGAATGAACCAGAAGTGGACACCATCTTTATCGATTTAACTCTTCCCGAATCTACTCAAGAGGCGGTTAAACCTTCAAATGAGTCAAGTTATGATGCTAATTGTTGAGTTAATTGATTGATGGAAATGGCTAAGAGGGGGGTGAATTGGCAATTAAAATTTTGGTGGAAGCTTTTGCAGAAAATTGAAAATATTTGCACAACTATTTAGAGTGGTTTGACTTTCTCAACCAAAGTCTACGTCCACTACCTTAGCTATCCACACTAAGGATTTTCCAACAAATTCACTAATTTTTTCTTTCTTTTGAGGACAAAGAGTAACCTTACAACTCCCTCAAGAAGTATACCCCAAATTCTTTAGCACACTATTTTTCAAAGAGAAATACACAAATTTGCAAACTTACAAGGTAAGATGTTTGCACAATTCTAGAACAAGAAAAGAACAATAAAAAAATTACAAATGATAACAAATGGTGTTCTTGAAAGCAAAATGAATATTGAAAGGAAAATTTGCTTGATTTGCACAAACTTGGTGTTTGATGCTTTCTCTCATGTTTCTATATATTTCTTGTTGATCAAAGGCTTCAGAACTTCTTTAAATACTCCCTCAATTGATTCTGAATGTTAGGGTGATTAGTGGAGTCAATGGAGTCGTTTAAGTGTGAAAACCATTAATACAACAGCTTAGAGCATGGGGGAATCGGTACCCCCTCATGGGGAATCGGTTCCCTAAGTGTAAAGTTCAAATATTTGGACCGTTAAACAGGGGGAATCGATACCCCTTAGGGGAATCGGTTCCCTCCGAGCATTCTTTTTTTCGCGGAGCCAAACCATTCAGGGGGAATCGGTTCCCTCTGGACATTCTGGAATTTTTTGCTTTGAAACGGTTCGAAATACTTTGTAAAATTATTTTGAAATAATTTTTAAATTTAAACTTAATTTTACACTTGAGTAAGGATTAAAAATGACTTTTGAAAGTTTTGGAGTAATATTTTGATATTCAAATAATTATATCGAATATACTTAGAAAATCTTTTTGGAAAATCTTAAAATTCATTTATCTTAATTTGGTATATCAAAATATCAAAATGTTTTCAACACTTTACATACAAATGTCTCATAAATATTTTAAGGAATAGTAAAACTCCCTGGATCTTTAAGCTTTGGTGGCAATTGACTTGTAGCCATAGCACTACATCATTCCGGCAAGAGAGACAATCTCAAATTCTCCAAGTCTCATTTCCTTTGAAAAAACTTCCTTCATGAATTTGATATAGTTGAGTTTTACTCTAAATCATCAATCAATGGGATGTTAATTATTAGTTGGTGAAGGACATCAATGAAAACTTTATATTGATGATGTTGCTTTGTCTTTTTGAAGCGTTGTGGAAATGGAGGAGGCATCTTTCATTTTTGTTGTTGAGGCAGTAAAGTTGGTAGAGTATCAGATGTAGTAGGTGTAGTTGTCGGCATTGACTTTGAAATACTACATTGTCATGTATCTTATGCTATAGTATGATCCACAGATGGCTTTAGCTCAACTTATTTGCCCTTTCCCTTACCATGCTTAAGAACCACCACATTATTCTTCCTAAACTCCTCAACAGACTCCCCAATATGAATTCTACTCCTTGTAGTAATATGTTTGTAGTGTTCTTTACCTTACTGCTTTGAATTTTCAATATTGCTAGACAGCGTTCCTTACAATCGATTATTAAGAGCATTGCCATTTGTACCATTTGATTTTCTAGAGCCCTTAAGGAGGTTGATTGGCTCGCCATGTACTCTTTCATCAAAGCTTCAAGAGATAATAAAGTTGAAGTTTGGGTTGAATATTGACCTTGATAAATTTGCCTTTGTTGTGATTAAATAACTGGATGTTGTTCTTGCGGCTGTTGCATCGGTTACTGGTGATTGTAATGTTGCTATTGATAATGCTACTGCTTGGGGTTTGCAACATTCCAAATTCTCAAATAAAGATTGGGATGATTCCTTAAATTGGCATTATATGTGTTGCTAAAAACATTACTATTCATTTGATAATTGCGCACGTAATAGATAGACTTCGAATAATGGGAACATTCATCAAAATTGTGATTATCGCCAAAAAAGAAACAAGTGATGAGAAAAGCAACCTGAACGTCAGATATTCTCTCTGGGTTTTGCAATTTCTTCCCCATATATTTCAATGTTGAAATCTAAGATGCCATAGAGTTGAAAGCTTCAGAATTTACTGTTGCAGCGTTGCGTCGGCCAAAAATATTTCTCGTATTAGGGTATTAAAAATCATTAGTTAAGATTCTCTCTAGAATATCATATGCTTCATTATATGTTTTATCAAATAAAGCTCCATTCGTTGAAGCATCGACCACCATACTAGTGTGCATGTTTAATCCATTATAGAACATCTCTATTTGGGTCCAATATGGCAACCCATGCATAGGAAACTTTCTTAGAAAATCCTTGAATCTTTCCCATGCTTCATACAAGCTTTCATCCTCCATTTTCTTGAATGAAGTTAGATTATTTCGTAGTTTGACATTCATGTTTGGTGGGTTGAATCGCAACAAAAATTTATGCGCTAACTCATTCTAGGATGCTATAACACCTGGTGACAGTGAACTCAACCAAACCCGTGCTTTATAACGCAGAGAATAAGGAAATAACTTTAGCTTTAGTGCCTCTTCCGGAACACCTTCCTGAATAAATGAATCTCAAACCTCCATGAACATTCTCAAATGAGTCCTAAGATCTTCAGCAACAGACAATCCATATTGTCCCATAGATTGTAACATTTGGAATATTACCGGCTTTAACTCAAAGTTCACATAATTAATCACTGGACTAACTGTAATACCCCCAATCCCAATCAAGGATTGGGAGCATTACCGAGACTGAAAGCAAGAACGAGATCATTGAACGCTGAATCAGACATACGCAGCGGACAATACAAATAGAATAGCCAAAAAAATTTATTCTAATCAAGGATTGAGAGCATTACCGAGACTGAAAGCAAGAACAAGATCATTAAACGTTGAATCAGACATACACAGCAGACAATACAAATGGAAGAGCCAAAAAAAATTTATTCGAATACAATATTACAAATATAGATCAATTTACTCATCTATTTAATTTGGCAAACCATGAAACATAATTTAGCTAAGGTAGTTCATTTGATTCCAATTTATAATTCATTAAGCTGATTATTAATATAAAAATACATGCATATCCAGTAATTATTGAACTTAACTTACTACATCATCATTTCATAACCAACTTATATATTTACATTACAAAAGAGACCCTTAATGGATTATACCAAATGACACACTAGTAAGTTATATACATTAGGGTATAAGGATAAGGATAACTAAACAAGCCATACTTGAAATCTTCCTTTGAGTTGATAGACTATGGAGGTTGAGCTTTAAATATTCTAAAATATATGGTTTGGGAAAGAAAGGAACAAGAGTGATAAGTACTTATAGTACTTAGTGAGGTAACACTTATGTTCATTGAGTCTTTACTATTTAATGCTCTCCACAATCAAATAATTTATTGATTTCATGAAATTACTACATACTCTAATAGTAAAACATTTAATTTAAACAATCTATTTGATATAGCTTCAATTTTGATCGTGGAGAGAGTACACAATCATACACATTTATTTTAACAATAAACTAAATCAACTGATTAAACATTTCAATTCTTCTTATATTCGATCAATGCATAATTCACCATTTATGCAACACACAATCTACATGGCATTTCAAATTAAGCAATTCAATCTATATAATAATTCTATTTGAATAATTCATACATATACTAGCACTCTTATAATTCAATCTTATTAATTAATTTAAGCTTTGGTTTCTAGTCCAGTCTAGATAATCAAGCCTCCAACCAATTGTCAACATACATTTTAATTGCATCGTAGTGCTGGTCAAGCCTCCTATTGTCGTTAAAGACCAATTAACATACCCTCTGTCTATCGCCAATAAGCATTGTAATGTTGGACCGTAGTTCTGCACACATAATTGAGCTCTAGACTCTAAGGTATACCATTCTATCTTTGACTAACTATTAATCAAGGACACTGGATCTTCTTTGTCAACAAATCATTAATTTTTTTGTAACATAGCCATCAAGTATTATTCCATGCCAAGACTATTCATTAAATTTCAAATTGTTCATAGTAGCAAGCAACAATTTGTTAATTTAATATTTCAATTCAATCGAGTTCGACTTTGGCAGCATGCAATAGATCAACATTCAGCTTGATTCGATCATGGTAGCATGCGATAGATTATCATTCAACTTGATTCGATCATGGTAGCATGCAATAATTCATCATTTGATTCAGTTCAATCAAAGTTGCATATAATAGTTTATCCTTCAATTTGATTCGATCATGGTAGCATGTAATAAGTCAACATTCGATTCAATTCAATCAAGGTAGCATATAATAGTTTATCCTTTAATTTGATTTGATCATGGTAGCATGCAATAGATCATGATTTGATTCAATTCAATCAAGGCATCATATAATAGTTCATCATCCAATTGGATTCAATCATGGTATCATGCAATAACCAATTTATCAATTAATTTCATATGGCACTTAGTAACTTATAGCCTTTAATTAATCTTTCATTCCCTTAATTTTAAGTTCTAATATGACTTAATTTCATTATTAACATACTAATTTAATAAGCAATTCAACATATAAATAGAAATAAAGCGTGGATGGGATCTAATTCCCAACCCTAGTATATTTACACTCACAATACTCCAAGTTAGCCTTGAATTACTATCCCTTTTTGCTTATCTTTGGTGGATCCTCCCTAGTTCCTTCAGAAACTTCCTCAATTTCCTGCTCTAGAATTTTATACACAACATGGTGAAATTATTAGAATCAATACAATAGAATTTCCAGCTCAATTAGCTATTTGACTCTAAACAACTTCTATATTGGCAGATTGTACACCTTGCAGTAATCTGACAATAACTTTTAATTTACTCATTGAATTTTTGATTTTTTTATACCCTTAGAAATATAATTCAATTATATTTCCAACCATGTATTGCTTGTATTTTAATTTCCTATATAAAATTACAGTTTTTCATTTGAAGTTAGACAATTTTACAGTGACCAATATGTCACTTTTGCAATTCGATGCACTTTGGCGAGCTAATTCACCTAGAATTCTTATAAATTTGTTTTAACTCTTCTTACCATCTCTTATTTTCATCCTTTCTTTGTATTTTCATTTTAGCCTTATCCTTTAATATTCCATTTAAGTCCTCCAATTAACATATTTTCCAGAACAGTCTAGTTTTACCTATTTTGCTAATGTACCATTTACAAATTACCAATTCCTCTATAACTTAAGCCTTACAATTTATTTTACATTCTTTTAAGTCTCTAACCTATTTTTATCTAGAATTATAAACCTTTAATTTTGTCCAATTGGATCCCAAATTACTTTAATTTGTTCAAAACAACCCTTAATCAATCTATAGCAACAATTATGAGTAGTTTCACTCTAAGGCCAAATTCTTGAAATTTTACAGTATTTCCTCTTTTTTAATGCTTCGAATCTCCAAAATTTTCAATTTCTAGCTACTTTGTCCTACACCAATTTTTCCAATTCGGTACCATAGTTTGCCCAATTTAACAAAATTCCTATCATTTAAACTTAATTTAACATGATTATTATAACTTCTAGTATCATGCAAGCTAACAATATGAATCAATTCAATAATCGAAATTAAGTAGTAGGTACATACATGATATAGATCCAGTGCAAACTACTTAAGGTTTAACTATTCTATCACTGAAGTAGAGGTCTCACGCTTCTCTTAATCTTTTGCTAAAGACCTCGCCATTAAAACACCTCTATAGGGGTCTCTAACCCTAATGACTCTAACTACTGTGCATTATTTGAATGCAAACTAACTGTATCTGGTCTCACATAGCCATCAGACACTATTTACTAAAGGAACCTCGTGTCACATAGCATCAGTGTAATTTCCACTAAGCTACTAAATAATCCCTTGGTCCTCACATAGTCATCAGGTAGATAATGGAGGGGGAACCCGATGTCACATAACATCGGTAGAATTCCCACCCAACTGTAACATTGGGTTGGTCTCACATAGCCTTCAAGCCAAGCTTTAAGATATTTTTTGTACTGGACCGATACAACTACAATGCATACCTAAGGTCCCAAAGGCCACACAACACTGACATAACTAACCCACTCCGTGTGAGTGTTTAGTCCTCGTGCCTTAGTTAGCCTCTAAAGTGCCTTGTGCACTGACAATACCCCACTAGGGAAACTAAGGTAGCCTGGCTATACCCTAGCATAGTTGGACTTACTAAAGTGACGTCTTCCTCTCACTAGCTGCTATCTCACTCGTTCTCTCATCTAAAATGCTATGTGAAGGCTTATTAGTATGTTACTGTTGTTATTTATTAAGCTGCTTTATACTGGTTGTTCGTTACTTAAGGACATTTTAGTCATTCTATCTCAAAAGAAGTCTCTACACATTTCGTAATTCTAGAGCGATTACTGTATTTTTTGTTCACTATATGCAGAACTAGATGGCTTGAAACCTGACCCGGGTTCATTACTAAGTCAGGAGACTTTAATCGTTCTTATCATGCTTCCCTTCAATACCCTTTGAATTGAAGGGACGATTTACCTAGGTTCACTGACTTTCTCGAAGCTGACACTTTCTTCTTTTACTGAATCTGACTAACTCATCGTATCACTTGTCGGTACATCCTCTGCAATGATCCTCCTTCTAAACTATCTATATACGTGCTCACCTAGAGATACTTTGACGTATTATGCTTAGTATGGTTACATCTGTTGTAACCCACAAGTTATCTTTAGCCCTTACAGGCCTTAAACATGTCAAATCTAACCATCTGAAGTTAGTAGTATCGATACTCTACTTACAATATCAATACCCTACTTTCAATATCGATACCCTAGGGTCAAGTATTGATACCGCTATGAGTATCAATACCAAAAATGCATTATGTTTATGAAAATTAGGCCCATTATCGATACTCAAACCCAAAAATGTCTTATTTAAGCTTGAGATACACCTAAAAATCATCCCTAATGTCTTATTTTGGTTCTTAATCATCTTCTAAAGCTTTAAGGAGTTAATTAGGGTCTTAAGGTGTCATAAAAACATTTCCTTAACACCTAAAAGGTTATTTAATTATAAAATCAATTATAAACCCTAAAATACTTCAATACTCAATCTATCAAATCTTCATATTTATGAAAGCCTTAACACTCCAAAGGATTAGAAATATACTATATTTGTGTTTAAATCCTGAAATGAAGCTCATTGCTTAGCCACACTCCCTTCTTTGGTGATTTAGATGAAAACCCCACTTTTTCTTTAGCTAGGAATAAACCAAGACTTGAATCATTAAAAAGACGTTGCTGGAGGGATTATGAATGAATTTGAAGCATGAAAAGGTGCTAAAGAACTCACCTTTATGTTA